AGATTCCCTTTTTCCTCAACGTTAGCAAAATATCTTTGCATAGTCAATGAAACAAAGATAGACATTTCTCCGATACTCTTTGCTTTCTGCCAAGATCCATCTGACATTGGTGATAATGTCTCTAGTGCCATGATTCCTTTTAAACCCAGCTATATTTCTGATACTTCTCTGTCAATGTACGATTCCAGTCATTTTTAGATACTCTCCAGCAGGATTTTGCTTGCAGGATATTAGTGAAATTGCTCAATAATTTCCACATTCTGACTATATTACATCTCTGTAAAAGCAGCCTGCGTATCTACAGGGTCATGAGTCATCCCCTCATGGGTTTGAGTCTCTGGGAGACCTTCTGGCAAACCACCAAACTCAGAAAACATAGAGGAGTGAGGGAACTGAATGAAGGAGGGCCTGTTGCTGTTAGAAATGCACATAAAACTTTTGAGACAATGTTGACGCTACATTGTTTAGCACTGGTCTGCTTCTAATCTTAGAAAAGTAAAATATTAATACACCAGTCCTTAGTGAATGATACAGTGCTTAAAAGTTGGAGGGTCCGTGCAAGAGAGGAAGATTCTCTACAAGAAGGACTGATGACCCTGAAAAGAAGCCAACCTCAACATGTGTGCTTGGGGCCAGAGATTGAAGGAGCCATCAGAACAGAGACCTTCTGTTGACAGAGGCAGCTGGGGCTGCTGTGAGGGAGCCATCACCACAGGCCTCGGTCCAGGTTTGCTGGGGACCTGGAATAAGAGGACTTGCGGCTGAAGAATTGCATCCTGTTAACCTTTTTGCCAGATGGTGGTCCTCCTCTCCCAACACCAACATCACAAGAAACAGCGTGTGCGCTGAAGGATTAGGCCTGAAGTGACACAGCTGAACATGCACCTTCATCACTGGACCCTGGACTCCCTGATGAAACTGAGGTTCAAGTTTTGAGCAGGCCAGTGAGCTCCCTGTCATGGTCCGAGGTTTTTCAGCACATCCTTGGAGAGTCTCTTCTGAGCAAGTTGCAGCAAAGCCCGCTTCTGGCTCAAGACCATGATCGCCTCCTGGATCAAAAAGCTGTGAGCAGATGGAAGCCCTCACCTCCCACCCTGTAAACTGCAGGGGTGTGTGGATGTAGAAGCCTTAAGTGACATGGCTGAACACGGACCTGCATCACTAGACGCTTGACTCCCTGACAGAAATGACGGAAATGAGCTTCAAGCTGTTGTACGACCAGGTGGTTACCTTCATGGTCCCAAGATTGCCCACAAGGTTTCCCTCATCTCCCATCACTGTAAACAGCAGCGTGTGTGCTGAAGGCTTTAAGATCCATGGCTGAGCAAACAGACACCTTCCTCACTGGACCCTGGAGTGAAAGTCTTTGCGTGGCCTGTGGGTTACCTGTCATGGTCCCAGGTCTTTGCGTGGCCTGTGGGTTACCTGTCATGGTCCCAGCTCTTGCCAGGGGGGCCTGGGTGCACTGAAGCAGAAGGCACAGAGTGATGAGGGAGCAGACACCTTCGTCACCGGACCCTGGCCTCTCTGATGGAACTGAGGGTCAGTTTTCCACATGGTCAATTTGATTACCTGGGAGCATGACAGGTAACTGAGACCCCCGGATCTGCTTGTTTCACACTTCCTCATGCCCATCCTTCTACATAGCACCTAGGAAGCACAGTCCAAGGTGCCATCCTGTAAATGATAAGGAAGGACTTCAGCAGCTGTGCTGAGAAAGTAGTGTCCATCTGCTTCCCAAAGTGCCCAGTGACTTCCTTCTGCACCCTATTCTATCTTTGATTAGCTGTTGTTGCTCTGGCGAGGACATCTGATGCACACTGAGTAGGGACAGTGAGAAAGGGCAGCCCTGTCTGAGTCCCATTTTTAAGAGACACATGCCCTTTGCTCCACTTTGTTTCAAGTTAAACTGAGTTTTGAATTGACAGGCAATCCTAGATCGGTGAACTACACAAAAGCAATGAGAGGGATTCAAATAACTTTTGTGAGGTGTCAAGATTTAAATACACATTGTCGTTTTTACCTATTGGTTCCACTGGCTCCATCCCGGGAGTGTTTCATCTGAGCAAGATGCCACAAAGTCTCCTTTTTTCAGGTAAAGACCATGGCCACAGGGGACACTGGTTCCTGAAACATGATCCAAGCTCTGAATCAGAAGGTAACACATCCTCTCCCACGTGTACAGGAAGAAGGGTGGGTCTCACGAGGCTGCCAGAGCTCCCTCAAGTCTTGCGAGCGTTCCTCCCCTTGAAAACCGAAGAAAAAGTTTCGTACATTTACCAACCAAGCCATCAGTGAATTGTGCATGATGAAGTACAGACCGCTCCCTCCAAATGAGACAGCAAAATATACCTGCTTCCTTAAATCCCACCATGCTCCATCCAGCAGGAAGCAGCCAGAAGACCTTGTAGCCCCCTATCACCCCAAAGGTGGGAATGTTAGGCTGAAAATAAAAATGGAGGTGGAAGCTCAACTCAGAAATCCAGTGTCAGGACATTCCCCAAGACCAGAAACTTTATGCACCATTGAGCCATTGCAATGGCCCCATGTAAACCCCCTAAGCCCAACCCTCACGGCTACTCCCCTTGCTGAGTAGCCTAGTGCACAACAAACTTCTAGAATTCTGAAAAAAAAAAAAAAAGGACTGACATGGTGACTCTTCTCAAAAGAATCAAGTGTTGAAGTTGGTGAGATTGGCTCAGAAGAAGGTAGTATTCAGAGCCATTGTTTGTGGGGTTGCTGAGTTGCAGTCAACAAAATGACACACAACAAGGTTTTATGCTCACATGTGTTCCTCACAGGCTTCATGGGAAATAAGGCACGTTTTACATAAAAATATTTTATTTGCTATGTTGAAGTCTACTTGAGAATCATAACTGACATATTATTGAAAATTAGAAACTACAGAGCCTTTAAAAGAAACCTGAAATTTTCTTAATCAAATACAATAAGAGGTATAGTTTGAAAGTTCTATAATTTTAAAAGTTCTCTCCATAGCCCTTAAAAATAAATCTATGCAACAATGCATGAATGAAAATCCGAAATCTCTGTAAATGTTCATTAAAATTAATAAAATTAAATTAAAAAAAATAAATGCACCTGAAAAGGAGGGTCAAGCTCATGTGAGAAAAAAATTAAGAGAAGAGTTTTAAAATATAAATTTAATATTCTCAGTAAAGGAATTTACAACTTGAAAGAGCAAACTATGACTTAAAATAAAAGTTATTTTTAGATGCTAAAAAAATAAATATAAATAAAAGTATATTTTGGAGTTCTATTACTTTAAAAGTTCCACCCAGGAAAGAGACCCTTAATAAGCAAAGCACTTCTGAAAAAGTGGGAGGCATAGCATTTCCTGACCTCAAAACCTACTACACAGCGTGAGTAACCAAAACAGCATGGTACTGGTATAATGACAGGCACATAGACAAATAGAACAGAATTGAAAACCCAGAAATGGACCCATCTATCTTGGATCAACTGACATTCAACAAGGAATATCAGAAATGACAGCTCTTCAACAAATGGTGCTGGCAAAACTGGACTGCTATCTGCAGAAAGCTGAAACAGGAGCCACATCTCACACTATACACAAAAATCAACTCAAGGTGGATCAGAGACCTGGGAGTAAAGCCCCAAACCATAAATTTTATCAGAGGCAAACTGGGGTCAAGCTTAGATGGCCAAACACAGCCAGAAATGCACAATCTGGAGAGGATAAAATTTAATGGTTTGGAATTTTACTCTCAAGTCTCTGATCCACCTTGAGTTGATTTTTGTGTATGGTGTGAGATGTGGACCCTGTTTACACCAACAGGGTGAAAAGAAAACCTACCAACTAGGAACAAACATTTGGAAATACCATCACTGATAATGGTCTCATACTAAGAGTTTACAGAATAATTCTGGGCATCCAGAAGAAAAATACTGATAATTCAATTACAAAGGGGGAAAGAGGCATGGAAAGATTTTTTTCCACAGAGGAGGACATTTGGATGGCCAGACACATGAAGAAATGATCAAAATTATTGGCAAGAGGAGAGATGTAAATCAAAACTATAATGAGATACAATCTTACCCCAGTAGCATTGACTAAGTTTAGCAGGGCAGCAAGTAATAAAATGTTGAAGAGGGTATGGTGAGATAGGAACTCTTACATGTTGTTAGCAGGATTGTAAAATGGTATAACCACTCTGGGAAGCAGATTAACGTTTTCTCAAAAAGCTGAACATAGAAATTCCATATAACCCAACTATTCCACTACTTGGAATATACCCTGAGAAAAAAATAACTGAGGCACAAATGGAGAATTGTACACCAATGTTCATAACAGCATTATTCACCATAGCAAGAACATGGAAACAGCCCAAACATCCAGCCACAATGGAATGGATTGAGAAATTATGGTATGTTCACACAATGGAATACTATGTAGCATGCAGGAGTAATGATTTTGTAAATTACTACCTAACTTGGGAGAGACTGAAGAGCATTATGCTAAGAGAACTCAGTCTCATAAAGACAAATATTGTATAAGGCCATTGTTGTAGAATGAGTATGAGGATCCAAGGGGGTGAAGGGCTTAATCATAGGGTCACACAATTTGATGGGTGGAGGGAGGGATGGGTACAGGAAAGGGGAAAGATTTGGTGTGAAAAACAATGTATACTAACTTTGTGATTAAATCAGTATGAATTTTTTCTTAAAAAAAAATTCTGTCCAGTTATCTTTCTCATCCCTCCTTGGGATCTCCAAGGTGAAATCCAAATTAATATTTCATTATGGCAATTTTACAAAAATCAAAATAAGCATTGCAAATCATTATTCAAGCTGCACTTTCATGCAGCTGTTAGCCATCATACAAAACAGCAAGTGTGTACAGGAACATGACCTGGATCTTTAAGAATGGTTCTTAACCCAACCCATGTCTAGGGAGCCGGCTCATCCACCAGAGCACTCATATACCTCTGAAGTTGACATAGTCGAAGTTGCAGAGCACTTCATCTTCTTGCGATGGGTGGGAGAGGTTGTCTCAAACCTCCTGGCTTGTCTTTTAGGGCCTGCTGAACTCTCTTAGCTACATTTCGTTCATTTTGGAGTTCATTCAGGCGATTTATTTCACGAACTTTTTCCTTTTTGATTGCTGAAAAAGCAAACATACCAAACAACTGACTTTCCATTTTCCACCACACATAATTTAGTCAAACTGCATATTTTAAAAAAAAAAATAAAATAAAAAATAAAGAAAAAAACAACACACAAAAAAAAAAATTAAAAAAACCAAACTGCATATTTATCACATTACAAAGTTCATATTCTAATACTGAAGAAAAATTACAAAGCTACAGGGAGTATGGTATAAAGAAAAATGGCAAAGCTTTAGGAAGTATGAGTGTGGGTAAGCATATTGAAACATTTCTCTGAAAATAAGCAAAATGGCACGCGTGCAGCTTTAACAGAGAACTTAAGGAACTTACTTTCTAATGGAGGCAGAGTGCCTTTTCTGGTGACACATTTTTTGAGTTGTATAGGTTTACCATGGCGTAACTCATGCATTTGAGGGGATTTGGCCTTCATCAAGCCCATATACAAGTTTTTTGTAAGCAGTGCAAGATCCCGGTATTCCTGCCTAGAACATAAAACCATTAATTAATTCAATATTATGGGATATCATACAGAAGACAATAACTCTGGTGGTTTTTTGGTTGATATTTTTTAAACTGGAATTCGTTTTTCATGTGGTAAAAATCACATGTACACTTTGTCACACAAAATATACTTAAAAGTGAAAGGTGGGTCAAAGTATAATATGGAGATTAT